GGTGTAGAAGGGAAATCTTGAGCGGGTTCCGACACAATCGGAAAACGCAATGGTCCATCTTCCATGCAGCCTTTTTCAGGGCGTAGTGGTTTGGAGAGTTTGTTCGCTTGGCCAGGGGAAGGAGTGACGAGGGTCTTGATGTGTTTCAAAGTCCTTCGCGTCAAATCGTACACTTTGTCATGTTGCCATGATGATGGAAATACCCGAAAAACCGATTTTATTTGTTTCCTTGGAAAGCCCGGAGAAAAGTATCCGCACTAGTTCGTGTGGAACGAAGAGTGTGAGAGGACTGGACGCAGGGGGGGCGATGATGAGTACTGTATAAGTGCATCCATCGCACCAGAGAGAGAGAGAGAGAGAGAGAGAGAGAGAGAGAGAGAGAGAGAGACAGAGACAGAGACAGACAGAGAGCGACAGAGGCCTCGACAAGCTGTCCAATTTGAATGGGCCCACCGATAAGGGTTGCACTCAAGCACGCAGCACGCACTGCGTGTTCCTGGAATGACCACGCTAGACCTCGGCAAGTTGCAGGGTAAACCGGAATGAATGCTCGTAGATGTCGAATGGGGCCACTGAATGAAAATAAACCCCCCACGGCGCAGCACCGATTTCTTTGTCACTGGAAACCACATACATCCAGGCACGTCACCATGCCTTGTTGACTACAATACCTGGAATGCTTTCAATACTTTGAATGCACAGCACCACCTCTACCTGTCGATGGGTGTCAAACGTATGAGAGGTGCTTACCCTTACCTGCGTGCACCACACGGCGGGAAAAATGAAAGTGCACACACAGAGAATACAGCCACGTATGTATTTGAAAAAGCACGACATGCTTTGTGGTGCTCTTTTGGAAAGCACAGCGTGAACAAACCTCAACGAACAGAGTGTGAGCGTAGAGCGGCTGTGGAGCAAGCCTGTTCGCAGGGCACGAGAGGGGAAGAGCATGGCAAGCTCTGGCCAACAGAAACAATTGGACTGCGGAGAACCGATTGGATATTATATCCAAGTGAAAAGAAACGGATGGAGTGGTGGCCTCTGTGACAGCTCCCAATATTCGGGATGCTGGCCCTGTGAGCAGTCCACACGGAAATGGAAATCTGGCTCTTGCAGCTGGAAGCGATATGACTCGAAACATAAAATGGATGACTGATTGCGGGGCTCATCGCCACCGCCATTACCCCCACCCTTATTCGACCTCCTCATCCTCTGGGTGTCACTCACCGCCCTCCATCTGAAGCGACAATGAAAAAAAAAAAAAGCCATCCAACGAGCAGCTCGAAACTCGCCTCCTCGGCATGCGACCGAAGACCTCTCTTCTACGGCGACGCCGCCACCGCCGCTGCCGCCGCCGCAGAGAAGGACTCCATACCTGACATACTTGCAGGACGCCTCGACTCGTGCTTCCGCGACGACTTGGCCGTCCTCGGACACCTCGCGAACGGTCAGGACGTACACCGTTCCCGGGCTGTCCAAAGTCACCGTGGCCTGGGTTTTAGCCAGTCCACAAAACAAATGCGTTCTCGAATTTTGTACCGAACGGCGGTGGAAAGAACGACGTCCGGATACAATTGCATGACACACACACGACAACAAGTGAACTCCGTACCCGGGGAGGTGCTAGGGCCCGTCCATGTGAGTGTGGAGGACGGAGAAGTGGCATCTCAACACGGCGGCACCTTGGTGGGTGCTGCTGCAGCTGAGTCTTCACGGAGACGAGGTGTTTTCTACGCAGCGGATAGCAAAACATTGAGCCGCTCACTCGTTAATTTTCGCGGGGAGAGCGCACCAAGTCGAGCAAACGACGCCCTGGGCTTTTGTCAATGCCTAAGTTGCTCGGCGGCGGAGCGCTTTTTGTTCGCATAATATCTCCGCAGCACGTAACTTGTTACTTGTTGTGATTATTCGGCTGGGGCCTTCGGCAAATATACGCGCAGATTGGCAGTAGCGTGGAAGCCAGTCTCCCGAATCCGCCCGCCGGGCCCGTCTGTCGTAACAGAACCGCTTCGATTGACGATGCCAAACCAAGTTTCCTCCGCCTCTCCCTATCTGCGTGTACGTCCAACCTTCCGGTTTGTTCGGTCTACGTACGACGAGAGATTATTTTGTGATGTCTTTGTTGTTTACTTTCGCGCTCGAAGTACCTGAGGGCCGCCGGTATAGGCCCACGCGTCGCCGGCGTCTTTTGCGGTCACTCCATGGTTACTCCCGTGTTGCAGCTGCCACACATACCTGCGCGTCGACCGACAACCGTGGAGAGACTTTCCAAACATTCGGGAGGCAGATGGATCTTGAACACACGTGCACGTGCTAACCGCTGGGGCGGCATGGTGCTTCATTCATCTATGATGGATAGCTTCGCGTACGGCTGTTCACGCTCGAGCCCGATGCAATAACACCCCCAGCTCATACACACCGCAGTTGTCTTGACAACGCTGCGCCACATTCTAGATGACTAACTTGTTCACGGGAGAACCTACGTCCTCTGTACCGTCCATGCCGCCGCCGAGTCGAGGCCCGGAGTGCCTGTACCTTGAATCAAACCTCTCTCACCTTCTCGAGAGGGAAACATTTCCCTCGACGGCTAGAGTGGTCTTCCGAAAAGGCTCAATCACCATGTCCAGGCCATATGTGCCGAGCGTCCCCTGGGGTTCATCCGCGTCCATCCACCGCCGACGAAGAAGGGGGGGGGGGGGGGGGGGG